ATTAGAAAGGAAATTTGGATGTTAGAGAAATCTGTTCAAGATTCATCTGTAAGATGATTGAATTCATTCATATATCTCAAGAAGAAGGGAATCTTTTAAATGCTGGCTTTCTCAGCTAAGGAGAAAAATATCTCAACATGTACACATTCAAGTAAATACAGGGAACAGAGAAATTCAATGGACTTTCAGTATGTTAGGCCAATTTTAACCTGTACCTTTAAACATTCTTTTCATTCAGTATTTCTCTTGCTGATTTTATGCTAGCAAAGTGCTATTTTGTTCACATGGAGAAGATGGGCTGTTCCTTGTAGGTTTATTTATTAATCTTGACTTGATGTTTTCAGGATGAATCTGTTCTAAATATTTCATTACATTTTAAATCATCCATTCATTACATATATATTTATAAAACATTTAACAAGTGTCAACTATGTGCCAAGGCACTAGATTTGTTGCTGGATATTCAGTGGTGATCCCAACAAAGTTGGTTCTGCTTCCATGGAGCTTAGACTTTAGTAGGAAAGACAGGTGTTACAAAATAAACACGAATACATACACGACTTTAAATATGATAATTAGGTAAAGTCACAACTGCATTCCTAACCTACAAATGGGAAGGCAGATCTTAGACCATGTTAAAATCATCAGTTAAGTATGACTGATAAAGAAAGGATATGTATCACCTTTCCTATTTAATTTCCTAAAACCTTCACCTCAAGGAGAAGATCAAATTAGAGGACGGGTATATATAATCCAATTTGGTGAGGTTTAGGCGAATGTTAGCCTCTTCCTAGTCTTCTCTCTCTTATTCAAGATTTTAAGATAAGATTTCCTTTCCATAACTTAATGAGTAAATGTTTTAGAAACTAAAAAAATATGAATTTGTAGTTGCAAGAACAAAGCAAGAAAAAAGAATGTAATTTTTTTCCTACCTAAAATCATATATACTTGGTAGCACTTATATAATACATATATATTTATTAGAATTATATTAGCAGACATTTGAAAGAATAAAGATATACCACACAGCAGGAAATCAATTCAACAATACTGAAACATCTGATAACATGAAAAAGAAAACACTCTGATAATTTATGGTAAAATCCTGATTTAAAATACTTGAGTAACATGGGAGGAGTTTATCATTTTAGTTCATCATGTATTAAACACCTAAAATCTTGAAAGATTATAAAGTTCTATATAGCTTTATGGCTTCATCATATTAATCCTTCATTGTATTAATCCTTATTTATTCTTACAAAAATAAGAGAGACATAAGAGCAAGGAGTCACTAAACTAGTGAGTTATGCCACTATAACAAATGACAAGGTATTTTGTTGGCACAGAAAATCAATATGATCAGATACTCTACTGATAAAGCTGATACTATAATAATCAGAGAAGTTAAATTCACCCAGAGCGTCACATATGCTTTTATCTCTCCTTATAAATTTCATTTATGGTAGCTTTACCTGTTATACCACTTCTGTCATACAAGGAAACCCAGTGGAACATATTATTTTAGTATAACTTTTATGATATTAATTCCACTATTATGCAAAATCTATAGAGCATACAAAGTAGAAGAAGTTTTGTGATAAAAATAAAATAGACTATAGAAGGTAAAGCATTTTAAATGTCTCATTTTGCTTTAAATACATTATGTTTACAACTTGCTTTTCTTTTGCCACCCTAGCTTTCTGATCTCCTTTCTGATCACCTGATCACTTCTATCCTGTGCTCACAATGATCTTACTCCCTTATCTCTCTAACTCTCACACTCTCCTTTCTCCATGTGCTTTCTCACTTTTTTTTTTTTTTGGTACTGGGGATCGAACTCGGATCCTTGTGCTTAGTGAGGCAGGTGGCAGAACCATTGAGCTAAATCCCCGGCCCTCTTTCGCACTTTCTAATGATTGCAGGTTTCTGCATCTTAGAATCTAGTTGTTCTTAATATCTATTTGCAACAACTTCCTTTAAAAAAAAAATTATTAGTCAAACTCAGTCAAACACTTTCAATTGGCCCAAATTTGTTCCAATATCCATAATGCTCCCTTTGTTAACATTGAGAAGTGGCTCATTTACCTATTGCTCTATCAAAACTGAATCCTCTAAGAACAATACACTGCTCAAATTCCAAGGCTACCCTCAGAGCACCGCATGGTTTGTTAGCAGTAATATCTGCTTTTGCAGCTCATTTCTCCTGGATGTCCTTTTTTACTCTTTGTTCTAGCCCTCTGTTGTTTCTGTTTGGATTTGGGGGCTTCTATTTTCTTGTTCTCCTTTCCATTGGCCATTTAATGATCAATTTGACTTGTTCTTATGCTAATTACTCCAAAATCTTTGACTCCAGCCCGGTCTCGCTCCAGAATTATGATACAGTGTAATATTTGAGCCTCTCAAAAGGTGTCATTGGTGTTTCAGTATTTCACTGATGGCCTCACCATCATGATCTGTCCCAGCTTCTGTCCTGCTCCTCTGCCCCTTCATGCAATGATAGAACCGTCACCTCAGCACCACTCATGATTGAAAATCTGGCATCATCTCTGGTTCATGTTCTCCAGTACTTGCTCATTTTGCCAACCCCCATGAATTCTGCTTCTGTACTAGCTACTGCACCTGTATCCACTTCACCATCCTCTCTGTTGCCCACTAGCTTGAGCTCTTTGGATATCTCCCAGGGATCAATGGCAGAGACTCTTAGGAGGCCTCCTGTCCCGTATTCTCTCATTTTGCCAAATCTCTGGCACACAGCTGTCAAATAAATTCTTCTGGAACATTTGCTTCAAATTTCTGGGTTCAAGTACATTCCAGATAAAGTCTAATATTTTGTACTATCAAGTCCATCCATGAATTGGCTTCAGCCTGTTTTCAACATTATTTTCCTGTACTCACTCAAGAATCAAAGAGCAGTCAAGCTGAGTTCCTTTTTTGCAGTGTCTTGTACTGATAGCTGTTTTGCTGATGCTCCTAATCTCCTATTAATTCTGAAAGCCCCTGCCTCACCTCTGCATTTCCATTCACTACCTTCCTTTAAGGCATGGCTCTGATATAATTTCCCCATGGAGGTTTCCCTAGTTAAGGTACCATTTGGGGAACGATAAGTATATTCTAGGCCCCTAGAGCTTTGCATGTGTTAATTATCTCATTTCAAGTAAACAATAATCCTCAGTTTCAGATAAAGAGACAAACTCAGAGGATAAGTAATTTCCACAAACTTTAGAGTTAGTGGTAAGTAAACCTGGGATTCCAACTAATATGTTCTGACTATTTAACCACTGCACTTCTCCCTCTACTTTATGCCCTCTGCAATATCTTCAAATGTATGTATTCAACTCTTTTAACATTGTTTAACTTGAATATTATTTCGGTTATCAAGTTGTATATTAAATGTGTTAATAATATCCCTGGAGAATTCATGGTGCCTTTATTTACTTAAATGCTTGCGCCTGAATAGATGATGAATATACTATCCTCCTGTTTAAAACTTTAGTATGTGTTCTATTGTCTATTTCATCACATCTAGTATCTTCCAGCAAGCTTAAGTAAGGGCCTTCAGGAATCCTTGGCTTTAAAATTTTACAGAGATGCCTGTCTTAGGAGATTATTTTCTCTGATGTCTCAATGTGAATCTATTATACTAATAAGGTTCAACTATAAATCTCTCAAATATAATGACACTTCCTTTTTGTTTCTGACATTTCTCATCCGTGCTTCTTCCAAAACCCTATCTCATTCTTCTTTTAGGGTTCAGCTACAAAAATATTTTTGGCTCCTATAATTAAAGTGGTATTCCGTCAATTAAAATTTTGATTAAAATAATATTGTTTATGTACATTATTTGGTGTTTTTGTCAAGTCTGCATAGGTTCTGGAGTCTACAGAGGAATATATCTTATACTCCAAAACTCCAACAACACTCCTAAGCACGTATTAGATACTTTAATGTAATGGTAGTAGGTCTTGTGGACTAAGCTTATTTTCATACAAAGTAAATTAAAGAGTTAAATTTTCATGTAAAATAAATGAAGTCAATTAAACACATTGCTAAGAATTTTTGAAAATGACCTTGTTAAAGGTCAAAAAACATTTTATTATTTCAACCCAAAATATCCAAAGAACTATGTATTTTATTGCAATTTATATTTGTCCTAAAAAACAATAATAGGATAGGCTGGGTGGTTCAAGGTGCTTTCTTAATTAATTAATATTGAGGTAAAGATTTTCTTGAGTTCTTCCTCCAGGATGGTAAAAGCATTCCATTTTACATCTTCTGTGACCTTAATTTATCCACATGACCTATTTTTGGTAAGGACATAGAAATACACTCAGCAGCCCCGTACAAAGTATGTATGTGATACTTTGTCCTGAGAATTTAGCTGTTGATAGAGTAAGCACTGACTTAAAGAAGCTAAATGCTCACTAATTAAAAAAAACCTTACATCTAACATTTTAGTATTATGCTTTTTACACTTGGCATTGGAGTCCGCATTCAAACAAAGGAGTGAAACTATACTTTAAAGCAAGCTCTCAAAAGAGTGGTGCATCATTGAGTTATCTCAGTTCTCTGGCTCACTCTCTCCCAGCTGCCTCCCCTCTTTGGACTCCCAGTACTTTAAACTGGCAAAGGACAATAAGGAGCGGAGCGTATAGACCTGAAAGTATGGACTGGGTACAAATGCTCTCTGTTTTCCTAAATAGCCTAAAAACACCTTCTCAAGAGAAGAAAAAGTACTCTTTTCTTTGAATGTATTCCTTTTAATTTTACCTTTGCAAGAAATAAATAAATCAAATAAAGAGAAGAAGGAAGAAAGAAAATCCTAGCTAACTTAAATAAGGCACTTAATTAAACGGAGTAAGGGTGAATACACTTTTGAAAAGAACATTTGTCTAAGGTAATTGATCAGAAGTGCCTTTGATAAACCCAGAGTGTCTTAAAGAAAATCACATTTTGCTTTGCCAAGAACGTGGAGGGATAGAGAGGAATTTCAGGGCACATACATTTCTGTGATGGTCTCTGGAAGGTTTGTGGGGATCTCAGTGAGACCTTTCCCACGACAGTCTACGATATTGTTGCTACAGGTACAAGCAGCAGGGCAATGCAGAACGCTGCAAGAAGGAGCCATAAACGACTGGTGACCTAAAAGAGAGACAAACAGCAGTCAGGTTTTTCCTCCTGAATTGTGTAATAGTGAAACTTGCAGACCTAGCTCAATTAACAAATCATGTGACAGAAATACATTTCTCTAAATGGCCCATCATAAAATGGTCCTATATTTCTAAAATTTAGGAAAATGCATTTATATTTTAGGCCAATATTCAAAATTCAAATGAAGCAAATAAGATTTTAAAAACCACTCATAAAAATGGTAATTTAAGTCAAAAACATTGTGAGAGGCTAAATGTAGATTCAAGATCAGAATTCTATTCAAAACTATTCAGAGTTCCCCCCAAAACAGCAATTTCAAGCTAATCTATGTTCATTTCTAATAAGCTGAAATAGTACATGGTTTTTATCAAATTTATGTGGCTCAATTTTCTTTGTCTCAAGAAAGAGAAAGAAGCATGGCAAGACTTTCATCTTGGCAGATGTAAATGTTGCTCGAATGAAGTTATACTGTAACAATAAATGTGGGTGCAACTTGGATAATGCTAAGTTTGATGTCTGGATAGGTTCTAAATTACTACTCTCTTTGAAGTCATTGTAATAATTTGTGTGGTGTCATTCTGTAATTGTTAATCTATGTGATTCTTTTCGGGGCTTTACATGATACAGAATTGTACCATAAGTAGTTAAACTGCAGCCAGGTGTTTTTACAATCCAATATTTGGAACCAAGATCACTTTGAAATTAGACTGTTTGGTGGGACTCATGAACAACAGAGTGCCAGTGGGCTACAAGGGGCAGCTGCAGAGACATGGCTGCTCTCGGAGAGCAGGGCCTGCTGGGAAGGGCCCTGGTTGTGGAGGTATGCCAGGAGGAGGTTCTGAGCTAGGGGAGCTGCCCCATTCCTTTAGACAAGCTCTCAAACTACAACGGTATTCTTCGGCTACAAAGGAAATGTGAACTTGCCTTCTTCCTCATCTAGAAATCAGGAAGGAAAAAGCAAAGAGAGAAAAAAGTGGTTAGCAGTGATTTGTTAGTCATTTCGTTGTTAAATTTTTAAAAAGCAATCAGACCATGGCATTGCAAGAGAATGTTTTTAAGCTTTTACAAAGTATAGAAAAATTCTTTAAAAAGTCTAAAAGGAAACAATGAAATAGAATCAAGTACTAGCAATAGCTCTCTGTTCCTCTGAAAGACTTCTTGTGATGCATTAGAGTCCCTTTGTATATCTTTGGGGAATTGGTTGTAGGACATCTATGGACACCCAAACCTGAGGATGCTCAAGTCCCTTCTATAAAATGACAAAGTATTTGGATATAAGCTACATACATTCTCCCTATACTTTGAACATCTCTACATTATTTATAATACCTAATACAGTATAAGTACTATGCAAATAGTTTGCACTCTATTGCTTAGGGAATAATGATGAGAAAAATTGTACATGTTCAGTACAATGCATCTTATTTCAAATATTTTTAATCTGTAGTTTACTGAATCTATGCTTACAGAATTTGTGGATATAGAGAGCCAACTACATTATACATATATTAATAAATGAATATTATATATTTTTTGTTTCAGTACATTTTGAACAGATACTTCTGAGCAGAACTAGCCCTATATTTATAAAATATACTATGTATCAATAGAGATATTTATACAAAAATACATGAACATATAAACACAATGTTCACACTGTAGGTGACTACATTGTAATTCTTGGATTCAATCACATAAACTTGCAAAAGGTTACAATTTTTCATTATATTTTAATCTCTAGTACAGTGATAAGATCATATTGCTCATACGGTTGTTTTGAAGGAATTGGAATGAGGTAAGTATATGGGAGATATTAAGACTGGTACTTAAGTATACATAAATAACTAATGGTAAGTAATGATATCTTTTGTAATGCATGTCATATTTTTTCCATGTTTTCATCATATAAACCAATAATTTATTTGTTTTAGATAGATTTGAATCATTATCTTTGTATCCATAAAAAATATTCCATCACTTGGCAATTATGATAGAATTACTTAATTTCGGAGCAGGGATCCAGGATTAGCTAATCATTTTTCAGGTGTTAAGATAAATGTAGATATAAATTGTTACATAAAGAGGAAAAAATGAGTAGAAATTAGAACTAAAAATCTAGGAATTTTCTGTATTTTCCTTAGAATAAAAACTGAAAAATCTCAGGTACAAGTCAATAGCAACTTCTAATTATATATAAAAGTTTTAGAATGTATTGTCTCCATCACTGTATAAAAAGATCTCCACAGAGTGATGGCGCATAACTGCACAGTAGTGAGCAACACTGAAGCATTCGTTCCTCACATTCTACTAAACAGCAGCACACAACACTCTACCATAACTCTGCTTTCTGCCTTACCACTGCAGACAAATTCTCGCTTTTGAACCTCTGCTACGTTGTGGCCTCTCAGGTGGGAAGGCCCCATGCACTGCGTGTACAGGCCCACCCGAGGTCTTTGGCGGAGCCAGTCGGACAGCCAGGCCAGGTGGCAGTCACAGTATAGGTTGTTCGAATGCAGTCGACTAAATGAGAGGAAAGATGTGTAAAGCAAAGAACAGAAAATAATGACTTCAACATTTGAAAAGTTCATTGATAGTAACATATCTTCATTTTTTTAATACAGGAGATTAAACTTAGCAAGTTCCAATCTAATTACTATTTTTATATTAAACTCGTTCACAACCAGAGAATCAAGTCTCTCTTTATTTGAGTTAAGCAAATACTCAGAAGCCGCAAGAGGACCATAAAATTATTTTGCCCGTGTTCATCTGAATAGGTAAAGAGAAAATCATTAGTTCAGGGTAAATTGCTCTGCAGTCCCAACACACAGAGCCAAGGGAAATGGGGTGGAGGAAGTGAGGGAGGTAGAGGAGAGGGGAGGTTAATAAAAGTTGTGACTCCGTATGAAATATCAGTAAGTCCTCCATTATTAGTCTCATAGAAACTGCCTGCAAAATCTTTTTAGCAGGTCACCTTTTGCTGAACAAGGCAGAATAATAATTCAATATAAAATGCTTTTCTCACACCCCTATTCTGATTTTCTTCTTCTTTTTGTTTACTCACAGAAAAGGGGATTAGCTGCTTTTGGCTCTTGGGAACCTATCCCCAAAGAGCAGAGACTGAAATTAAAAGACATAAGTGGCTGGAAGTGAAGGAATTAAGTGAGTCCCCTCTATGTTGGCAGGATCCACACAAGATCATGGATTGCTTCCAAGTGGCAAATGGCACTCCTCCATTAATAAATTATCAGACAAATGTATGCACTAAATTAGGTAAATGACTTCAAACTGGCTTTTATGTTTCGCAAACTAAAGAAAGGAACATCCAAAGCTATAAATCAAAGCATGATTCCCAGAATCATCTATGACACCGTAATACCATTTTAGTCCTTTTTAGCTGATGTGTTCAATTCTAACCCAATAACAGTAATGGACAGTAAAACATGGAACTTAGTCCAGAAAGATAACTGGACTATAAAAATGTAATTTTTAAGTAGCTATGACACTACAGAGCAACGAACTGACCAAAGCAAGGAATTTAAAGAAGACTGCTTTACATTCTCCATTAGCCTGTGGATAAGGAATAGATCGTCTTGCATTAAAACCAGAAGGCATACCAGTGAGCAAGGGAAAGCTAGGTGACCTCAGGCTCAATGTGCTCAAAAGTGAGAGTGCCATCCTTCAGAAGTGAGGTGGTGCATTCCACGTCATTCTTTTCTGAATAGACCCATCTAAAACTGCCTCAAAACAATTACTCCAATGAAGTATGCCTGAATTTGAAATAGAGAACATGAAAATTTGAAAAGTTGATTTTTAGGATAAACTAGTGCATTTCTACAGGAAAATGTAAGCCACTGATTATATGTTTTTACAAGTTTCAGTGGCTTTATTTTTGCAAGGATTGGAAGCATGATTGATTTAAGGAAAAGAATTAAGATATGTTACGTACATGTACCGACTTCCCATGATGAATGTAATCATGCACTGCAAACATGTACTAGTAAAAATAGCTAAAGTTAATAGGAAACTGATTTTGTGAAATATTAACTGAACTGGACTATTAACTACATCAGGTTAGTCTCAAGCTGATAGTTCCAGCATAACAAAACTTAGTTATGCCTTTATAGTTTTTAGAATTTCTTTACTTTGCTAAATCATATCCTACAGAGACTCTGATGATGGGTTATACAGATTTTGATTTTATAGAGAAGAAAATGATTTCAAGACTGGTATTGTAGAATTCAATGAAAAGCTAGCAGCCTAATTGATTTTTATTGTGGAGAGAAATCAAATGTAATTTTTTTCTAGTTATAAGCTGTTATAAAATGAGAATTGTTTTTAGAAATCCAAGCAAAATATGTTTGTCTTACTTAAAAACACTGCCCCTCAAGACATTCAGCACTGTGGTTTGGCTCCCAATCATTGCTCACATGTTCTATGAAATACTATATTTTCTGGTGAAGGTGATTTCAAAACCCAGCTCAAGTAAGATTTGCCTCTGAAAATACTCTAAGGACTCCCACCCTAGGAGTTAAGGGTTACTTTTTCTTCATGAGAAAACAGATAGCTGTAGCTAATAGTTTACTAGAAAATCAGTTTTTCTCCAGAAATCTTAACATTCAACTATAACCCCTGAAAAAAATTTCTAAATATAAATGCTGACACAACCTTAATTATAGAAGCACTAGAGGGTGATGCTGTGATTTTTACATCACAAAGAATGTTGGAAAACAAGTTTAGCTTTATTAGGTCTGCTTAGAGTACAGTAATAAAATCATAAAGACTTCTCATTTATCATTTCTGACAGCCAATCAAGGAGTCTTCTATTTCTTAATGAAATGTGACCTCTATGATAGCTCAAAGTAAATATTCTATTTTTTAACTGCAAACTTACTTTAATGTATACCATTCAAGTTTTCAGAATTATAGTTCATTTACTAAAATATCATTTTTTTGAATTTTTTTTTAAATTCTTTTATTGGTACATTGTAGGTGTACAACACAATTACATTTCTCATTGGGAATTGTACCTTTATATAATGCATCTTGGTTCTTATTTTTTCCCCATTCCTAGCCCTCCCTTCACGCCCTCCACCCTTCCCTATTAAGTGAAATAAATAGGACACACATGTGTAAATACTGAATAGTTTCTCTGGTGTGAGAAACTGAAAGTGTAAATAAGGACTAAATGTATAATGTAATGTGAAATAGGAAGAAAAGGGGCAAAGGGGAAGGAAGTGGGAGGGCTAGGGGAAAGGATAGAAGGGAATGGGATTAATATGAGAAAATGGAAAAATAGGAACAAAATCTTTGTAAATAGGGAGGACTGGAGGGGTTGAAGGGAGGGCTGGGCAAGGGTGAAAAATAAGAACCAAGAGAGACTATGTAAAGGTGCAAATTTCCAATGATGAATGTCATTATATTGCATACCTAAAATGTACCAATTATTAGAATGAATAATCGATAATGTAAAATAGGAAGAAAAGGTCCAAAGGAGTAGGGGTAGTGGGAGGGGCAGGGGAAAGGAAAGAAGGGAAAGGAAAAAATGATGAAAAACGGAAAAAATGGAAATTTTTTTGAATTTTTATAAGTTGTGATTTCCTTCTTTACCCCATAACAAACTAGTGGTTGGTTGTTTTTTCTTTTTTTTTTTTTTAACTAGAAGTGGTAGTGAGAGGACATCCTTAGTAAATTAAATTTATCTTCATGTTATCTTTTAACTACTTACAAAGTCCTAAGTTTAGGCATGTGGTTGAAACTTGCAACAGAAAGTCTTGTAATGTTGTTATTGTTGAGAGTGCTGCAGAACAGAAAAATGAGAAATATTAGATATGTACAAGCATAGATTATTGGTATTCATACATAGAACACTTCTTGTGACTATATTTTGTAGAACTGAGTACCTAGTAGAGATGGTATAAAGCAAGCACTGTTTTATAGACAAAGTTATAATTTTTATATGTAAATATATTTTGATGCATTCAGCTTTGTTCAACATGGCAAATGTACGCCTTTGATGAGAGCATCATTGGTAACTTACATGTAAGTTCCATGCTGTGTACATGTGTGTCTACTTACAAAGCGGGTTAAGGAATGAACACGGGACAGTCACTGCAGAAAAAATGGTACAATTCCATTTGTGTGTAATTAGTATTCACGAGTTAACGAACACACATAAGGACTTACCTCATTATTTGGTATATTCAGTGTGCTCTGGCCATGGATTAGAAATGCGATGTATTTTAACTGTGTAGCTGCGATAGGGCATAGTGTCCTTTATTTAGTGCTATGTGGCACCAATCATGGTTTCCCAAGGGCAAGGAGGTGGGTAGTCAGGGAATCACCATGAGAATAGGTACAATGTTCGCTCACTTCTCTTCTTTCTTATTTTTCCTCGACAGAAGCATTGCTAGTTTTATTATTAATAATTATTATTTTGGGGGAGAGAGATCAGTTGAAAGGAAATCTCCTTGAGAAGTGATACCTTTTAGTTCAAATAGCAGGATACGTTTTAATTATGTTTGAAAAAAGATTTCATTCTGCTTAAGCACCAGAAAATGCTTATATAACACGTACCAAATGACTGCAAGCTTTACAGGTCCTCCATTGTGGAGTTACTTTTCCTGCGTAATTTAATCCAAACCCCTAGGTTAGTTCTTGTGCCATTCATATATTGCAAAACTGGATAGTAAAGAGTGGCAGTGTGTGGTCTAGGTCTCAGGCTGGTGTGCGCAACTTTAGTGAGAAGTATAACTCAATCTTTTCAACCTTGGAACATTGCATATGGCGCAACTGATAGCCATAATAGACAGCTGCCCTCAAGTGGCCTCCCGAAATATATTTTGCTTAGCCCAGACTTGGTTCACAGACTGAAATATCTGACCTAGCTGTTGGTATTTAAAAACTAGGAGGTCAACTTCTACTTTCCCCTGGAAAATCAGGTTGGGACTCTTCTCATAGCAACAGGAAGATAGTTCCTGGGAGCTGAACATTAGCTGTGACAACAGAGAATATCATTGCCTGTTTAACAAGTCTCATCATCCCCAAATATCTGTTCTCCATCTCTTTCACCCACTGCATTTCTTTGCAGTTAGATCTCTTCTTTTACTTGCATTCCTGGCCTGGCCTCCACAGACAAGTGAATCTCCAGAACTTTCTGCAGCATCGAACTTCACCTAGATCACTGATCCTATCTTTCTTGCTTCCTTCAGGAATGCACTGTCTTTGTTCACCACCCCAATGCATTGTTCATCTCTCTCCCTCATAAAATCACGTTCCAGGTTCAGACTTTCTTCACACATTCATAAGATAACTGTTCTGTTGTTTTCTTATCACAACCCAACTTCTCCAAAGGAAAAACAGAACCTCTCTTGCACTTACTAATCTAAATTTTTGTAGAATGTCTAATTGACCCCCTACTTGTTTCAGTTTTCATAGGAATTTGCTTTCAAATGACCTCTTCTCTCACCTTCAGAATTTATGCTGACTTAATATGGTCAAACTCTTCAAAGTATACAACATTCTAACATGTGACCTTGAGGACACATTTTTAAAGTAGTTCATATACTACAGCCATGCATCAATTTTGAAACTAATTTCTTATATTTCCATGCAAAGGAGTTTCCATTGAATGCTGAAGAAGACTCTATTTGAAATCTTTTCTAAAAATATCAGTTCACACAATGCAACAGAACAAATAAATTATCTTAGTAGCATTTTATTGAGTATTGATGCCAGCCTGTTATTATATTGATACTGATAGACACTGAAGGATACATGCAAACCACAACATTATTTTAAAAATTTGTAATGATTAATATTGTGTTAATCAGCTATGATGGCATGTGTTTGTGGTGGCTGTGGTCAATTCTTATTTTAAAACAATGGAAACTGCTGTAATTATTTGCAAAAATTTCTTCTATGTATAAATCTATTTATACAGTCATTTTCTAGATTTTTCTTTGTAATGAGAACATATTCTAGTTCAGAAGATATCCTGGTGTGTAAGCATAAGATGCAACCTTTATAGTCATGGAACACTTCTCACACAAGGTTTTCATTTAGTTGTTCTTATTCCCTTGGTGTCAATCAAGCAAGCAGAGAGTGTGCTATTTACTGGATATGAAATCAGTATAATTCTTTTTTATTTTTTTGCTACCGGGGATCAAACTCAGAACATTGCAATTGCCAGGCAGGCACAGTGCCACTGAGCTAAATCCCTGGCCCTGAAGTCAGTATATTTCAACGTAATTAAATTATGCCCATTTTGTGGACAAAGAAAAAAACATGTAAAACCAGTAACTGAAGGGACAGATTTCATTTCAGTGTCTGGTGTCAAAAAAGTAAAATATTGATATAGATTTGGTTTCCAATGTTATTTTGGAAATAGTATCTTCATATTAAAAAAATAAACAATTCTACATCCTGCCATTGGAAGTCAATTCACCATGAACACACACATGATGAGCTGCCTCCTTGCCTTCATCTACTGTGACTTCTCACTTGCTTCTTGGGACTTTATCTGCCCTCTCTACCACAGTATGAATACTAACCGAACAGATGTTCAACATAGACATAGAACAATCACCTCATCTTCTCCTTTTTTGCCTCAGGAGAGTTACATGCTCACAAATTATTCATAGAATTAAAATAAAATAAAAACCTAAAACACTAGTAATCAGAAACGAAAAATGATGTGCAAGTTACTGACCCTTCTTATTTCCACATAATAAAAAGACACATCTTAAAGAGTCTTACTGCTAATAGTTAAGCAGATAACTTTCATCCTGGAACCATTCTGAGGGTAAATACATAACAGGCAAACATCTTATGTGCTTAACGAGAGATTTTAGTGTAATCAAGGTCTTTTCTGAGTGTTATCCAATTTTGCCTTTAATTTTTCATCAATTTTTTAAAAGTTTGTTCAAAATGTGAAGATTTAAAAACGATCATATAGGAAAATAATATCTTCATGACTTCATAAAAGGTTAATATAAAATATGTAAATCTTTATAAAAACATTGATACTTGCTTCTATTGGGTGATAATTTAAATGATTTTCTTCAACAGGCTCTCGTTATGGTATATATCTCTTTGTGGTGTATATACTGAACTCCTCAAATGAGTTCTCAACATTTTAAATTTCTATTTTAATGCTATGAAATATCATTCTTTGTTTATCACTCTTTGGTATGTTTCATAACAACGGTTCTTGTTAAAATCACTTTTCAGGTATTTTGGAAAGATGACAAAAATGTAGAGGTGATAATATTTTCACGCTTATTGTTTCTGAAAATAATGATTTCAGTTTATAGGAAATGTGTAAATATGAATTTACTCTATTTGTGGTTAAATATTTCAGTGCCTAGCACAGTTAGTTCTTCATTCTCTCTCTAATGTCTGTCTGACCATCCATCCATCCATCCATCCATCCATAAAAATACATCCTAGATACTCAATGTGTACATACACTGAATACATAAACTGAAAGATTCCATATCTAGTAAGAATTTAAGCTTTTGACAAGAGAAATAAAGTACTGTATTGAATTTAATTCTGCCAGAATATACAGCAAATGTTTCATAAAATGACAGTCATATTTGTGGTTAAGAATACTGACTTAACAACAGAGTTTTTGGCTTGATCTACTCTGTTTAATGTCGTAACCTGTCAATGACTTTTCACATACAAAGTTTAGTGACCTTGACTATGGTCTGACATCAGACCACTACCATGAAATCATATTGTATCGTAATTACTTTGTTTCTGAAGTAGCATCAGCGAGTTTCGTATCTTAAAAGTTGGTGGAATATACAATGTAAAAATGATCTTATAAATAAAGTGTATGAAAGGCACTCTGAATGTTTTTCTTAAAGAAGTTAGACTATTATCAACAGAAATAAAGGCAATCTTGCTGTACTTAGAGAACAGGATATATTTTTATATTTCACAATTTATATCAATAATGGTACACAGCTTTAAAGATAGTTAATAACTCAGTACATGGCCCAGCTAGAAATTTTATTCACTTACTTGCAAGAAATTTAAATTCATATAGAAAGTGCTGCTAAAACAAGCAGTTCAAATAAAGGATTTTTCTTTTCAGAATTTTAGTCTACTCCTGAAACTTAATGTAAAAAGCAATGAATTTCTTTTCTTTTCTTTCAGGAGAATTTGCTGATTTCAGATGACTCTCAACAAATGAACTAAATATTAAAAAACCCTTCACGTTTAGTTCAGTTTTAGGTTTTGGATCAAATTGTGTCAAGGATAAAATAAAACAGATGAAAATATGTTTATTCAGGAAGGAAATTTTTGAGTATATTTTAAAATATAGAAATGTAAATCTTTCATAGAAAAAAAAATCCAAGAAAATACAGGCGGAAAAAAGTGCTATACTAGGAATAGTTTTGGTTAAATTTTATTTTATTAAAATTAATTATTTCAGTAAAGTTATTTTACTAAGGCAAAGTCAATAGGTGAAAATAATGGTACACACTGCATTAAATGTTGTTATACTCTTGTTATTTTGTTGTAAGATTTTGTTTTTCCATAAAATAAAAAATAAAATAAAACCAAAAATATCTATAGAGATTATTTAGTTGCCTCTAACCAATATTTTTAGCTATGTCTACCCAGTGTAAGAGGGTGCCAATTATAATTCAAGTCTGTGTGCTTTATTTACAAGTCAGTAGTGATGACTTAAAAATGGATCTAATAAGCAGCTTGTCAGAATGGAAATATTTTAAAATAACCCTATGAAGATTTTATGTATTTAGTCAGGAAAAAATTACATTTTCAAGTGAGAAAATTTCTTTTTATTGCATAGTAAGTACAGAATATACCAACACATCAGTTACTAAGAGGCATATTTTTTTATGTTATTGTTCTAACAAAAAGATTTTATCTGAATATTTAGCCATTAGGGGGATTCTCATAAATCCTATGTCTTGTAGGAGAGTATTTTATTATAAGGAGAATATTTGAGTGTTCTTGTTTAAATATGCAACTTTGCCTAAATATAAAGACAGGAAACACAAGATTTTGCACACATACATTTGGACTCTGCACTCTTATTTAAGATATCTCTTTAGCGGACCATTTTGACACACATCTTAAGCCAGCAGGTAAACCTCCACTGTCCTATTCTCCAGACACAAAGCTCCTGTTAAATGAGTAAGAGAAATAAGCAGTACTCACAGCACTTCCAGGTCCCGGAGAGCCCTAAACGCCCCATCTTCAATACAGCTGATCTGGTTGTAGTCCAGTTGCCTGTTAAATAGAGTACAAGAATATATGTAAAGGGAATGAACAAACAGTAGCAAGGGTAGGTGACAGGAAGACTCCTGAAGGGTCTGCGAAGCCCCGGAGGCACTAACTGAAATGCTTTCACAAGCACACTCATCTGCTTAAGAATGTCAAAAACCATTCTGGCCTCTCTACGCGGCTACTGAAATCTTTTTGTTCTGAACTGTCTGTACAAATAGCAGCCCTGGGAAGGCTCCAGTAACTAATAACTGCACCTTATATTAAATGCCATAGGAATGCAATTTCATTACATCAAGAAAAGCTATCCATTAAGAGCTTTCAGCGTCATCTTGCTGAAACAATTTCATTAAGGTAAAGGACTGTAAATCACTTAATGTCACATGTACCCCTTGGTGACCTAACAGAATCCATTTATCAGACAAGCCCAGCTGCATGTTAATTTCACTATCCTTGGCAAGAAAGAGCATGACTACTTTTAGGTTTCTTTCTTTTAAAAGCAGTTTTCCTTCCAGAACCCCAAACCAAGAAGGAGAAATGGTAGCCCCTGTATCTCCCTGCTAGTCACTTCAGAAAGTTAGCAGTTGTCTTGTATTAAAGTGCATTATTCTCATAATACAAGTTTTTATGATTATATTCAAACTCTCCACAATGGATATGTAGCATTTTTTCAGTTAAGAGAATTTCAAAATTATATTACTCTCCAAGAAAATAAATTTCTAAGTATTAAGAAATTAATAAAACCGCTACTTTTCTCACAGTGCTAATTGTAGCCCAAACCCCTAAGAAATATACAAGTTCATTGTTAAAATACTACATGTATCTATGGTGAAAAGTTTAAACTTATACCAGTTCTTTCTAAATAATGTATAATTCCAACAAATGAATCTTCTCCAGTAGGTTAAGTATTCTGTGTTAAAAATTCAACCGTGGAGGGAAAAAACAAGATGTTCCAAATTTCGTTAAGTTTGCTTTCTCCCTGCTGTTTGTTTTGGAATTAAAACTTCCATATTCATACTAAAGCACTGGTTGATTGAAATGAACAGCTAAGTAACCAAGATTTATCTGTACTATCCTTTTTTTCCAAATAGTTGTTTAAATCTAGTAGCTTGATGCTTAAAGCTATTATTATTCAAGTAAAGAAAAAGTATCTTAATGCTTCACTTGAGATAGAAATGCTTCCTCTAATAGGTGAGCTGTCAACTCTACTTGAATTGCTGAGGGAATGCAGATAGATAGGTGTAAGATTGTGATCACAATACGAACAAATCTTGTCTTTGTGTCAAGCTTGGAATTCACCAAAGGGGCTAATTCATATTTGAGTCTGTTCTTAAAGAACTGTTTAAACATTCCTGTAAAATACCTGCTTCTCTTATAAGACAACTGCATAAAAGTGCTATGATTTAATCTGGTGACTTTCAGAGGGGACCCTTCAGATTCCTTACTTTATGTGCATAGAAAATGTCTCATGAAATATACATCTCATTTTTAAGAAGGTCCCCTGGGGACACAATCATACACAAGACTACCTTGATGTCATGCAAATGGTATTCTAGGACATGCAATATAAAAACAGGTACACCCCAGAGAAGATATAATTTTATTGCTTTTATAAACTCAGGCTTTCTGCAAATAATAGCTACCGCTGATGCTACCATAAGAGCCTAAAGCATTCCTATGTATTAGGAAGTAATGCAAAAGTATAATTTTATTTTTTTCAAGAAAACTTTTAGAGCCTCATGATGTAATATGGCTGCTGTGGTTCCAAGAAAACACATACATTCTTGAGCACTTTTGATTTTTACAGATTAGATTTATTTAACAATTAAGTTAATAGCCTTTTTATTTTAAAGGGCTAAATATATATCAACACTACTATTCTCTAACCTCTTCAACAATTTATCAAAGCCATTTAAATTAGTACAATGGCATGGAGTGTTACCCTTGACACACTACAAAAGAGAAATTGTTCCCAGACAAATTGGCAAAATCTTTTAATGCTATCAAATTTGCCTAATGCAGTCTTCAGGTTAATCTGTAAAAGGGTGAGCTGTATGTTTGCCCATATCTTATTATCCTTAGCTGTCAATGTATAAATCAGTGCTGACACAGCCTCTTCTAAATCATGCATACAATACACAGGGCCCACTCCAGCCTGCCAGAGAGCCCTAGAGCAAATCTTGTCCCACCAGGACTTCGAGCCATATTACCTTCCTTATATGAGAAGTCAAAATGTTGCTGGAAACTTTGGTTATTTCACCTCTCTTTGACATCCTACACAGCTACATGCTGCTTTTGCTTCTTACCAGAAATCAAAGCTTTATGAGTAAAGCAGTCAGGACACTTGGCTTGCATGGAACCAAAGTTTCCCTTAAAAGTTTTCTGAATTTTATTAGATCTCCATTCACCAAAATCTCCCGGGAACAAAGACATTTCATGACAGTTACTTACAAGAACAACCAAAATCAAGCAGATGAATAATTTTGTCACCAATTTGTGGATTTGGGGCTCTCTGAAGGTATGTTTTATGGAACCGCTGTGCCCACATGACTGAAGTTGAGAAAGTCTCTCCACAGACGCCCATTTGTCTGCGTGCGGCTCACAGTAACTGTCAGAACTGTGCAAACGGGTAATTTATTTCAGGGTTTCTGGATTCCTTTTCTGCACCTTGTTTCTCTCACTCTGTTCACGTCCTTCTTTCCTACCTTTCAAGCCCTGGGTGCTTGCACTTTCTGTAAACAGGAAAGGATCTGTTCTCAGCCATGCATTTAGCGACAGGCTGATTTTCTTCAGATGTGATTTCCAACTGGGCCATGAAATTATTCTGAATTAAGGACAGAACAAGAGCAGGGTTTTTTCCTTTCTTTATTTCAATTCTCAAAAAATGCTTCAACTATTTAGTCAGACACAGGGTAAATTTTTTCATGATCCAAATGATAAGGGCATAATACACAGCTTTGGGAGGTTTTTCTGCTTCAGGGACAAGGAAGGTGGGGCTTTTCTTATTTTTTGTGAGAAAGAACCATCTAGTACCCTAAGTGGTTTCTTTAGACCTAAAGCCCGTCTCTTCCAGCACAGACTTCTGTGACTTCTCTTTTCTTTGCTACCTCCAATCATTCCCTCCCTCTCTGTTCAAATGCCCAGTCTCCTCTAGATTGGGTCCCTCACTCTCCTAAATGTATAAACTTGGGTTTTGAAGTACTGCATTAGTGTTCTGAAAACGACAAGGTTAAAAAGAAAGATTATCTCTAAATATTAATGTTCTATGACTCTCTTTTCAGTGGTGGAGGGAAGATCTTCGGATACCCAGCGATAATTTCAGCTGCCGATTTTGATTTTTTCTAGGACTGGTAAACTTAGTCTTAGACAATGCAGTTTGCCAACGAAACCCACACATTAAGCAGCGTCTCCCTCTGCCTCACACATATAGAATTTCTAAAGCTGACCTGATTTTCTTAAGTACTAAAAACAATTTAGCCTAGTTTCAGAGTTTGATTTATTCTTGCTATAGGAGATAATTTATAATGTTTCTAAACAAAAATCTTAAAAATAGGAATATTAAGTGACAAAAAGGTTAAATAGTTGCTTAGTTGGAACCTAAACAGAACAGCTGAAGATATTGCATTTTGTTCTATTAAAATTTTCTTAAGAAATGTCCTATTTATCCTTTAGAATTTGAATATCATACTACGTCTGAATTATACATATAAAACTTTCCTATATTCATTTAATTTGTCTATGTTCCTGCTCACAGAAAATTCAAATTTCACTGCAATGTCCAAGTAAAAGATCATATTGCTATTTTATTTTCTTTTTTAAGAGTTAGAGCACATGAAATACACCAAACTGTGAAACAGTACAGAACAAAAAAATCTTCAATAATATCTAAACAAGCAGAATCTGTCAATGTCCTAACTAAATTATTATGACTATCCTCTAGCTTTGTTACATTTTGCTTTGTTTTAGGGGCTAGAAATAGTTTGGTTCATGTTCATATTACTATTGTAAGATGAAAGACTCCCAAAATTTAGTTGATTTAAAACACATTAAAGGGGTTAGAATCAATACAAGGGAATAATAACATTTCACTACTGTAAAGAAACCTGAGTCATAGGGGAGAAAAGGAAAACAAACAGCCATTAAGGACAGTGAAATCTCTTTTATCTGTTCTTTGTGTATATAAAATTCAACTTAGTGTAAATGCCTAAATATACAAATCTTAGGCCGATAGTTTTTTAAAATCACTTTCTCCGTGTGTGTGTGTGTGTGTGTGTGTGTGTGTGTGTGTGTGTGTGTGGCACTGGGTATTTTGCTCAGGGTTTCTCTGCCACTGAGCTACATCACCAGCCATATTTTAAGACAGAGTCTCAAAAGTTACCCAGGCTGGCTTGGAACTTGCCATCCTCTTGTGTCAACTTCCAGAGTAGCTGGATTACAGTCCTGTGCCACCACACTCCACTGCCAACAGATATTTTTAAAGAGAAGTCTGAATTTATTTATAATACTTATATTTATATATAAAGTATATATAAATTATATACATATATATTTATAATATTTAAATTACAATACATGAGAGTACAAAAAACACAAACTGATCCAAGTGAACAGTTTAATATAATTTCAGTAACAATATAATTTCTCTCAGCACAAAAGCATACCAGTACTAACCAGGGCACTGGTGAAGAAAACAAGCACCATAAAGACTATTCTAAGGGATCTAAAATAATTTAAATTTTAGGGGAATCTAATCCCTTTACAATCTTTCATGCAACATCCGATTTCTCTTACAAATAAGAGATGTCGATTTTTATTGCAATCATCTAAAGTTATATATTGATTGGGAAGAAGTAAGAGATGATTCTAATAGATATTATCAGACATACCTCTTAAAAGAAATTGGAGGAAAAACAACTAGGTTGGCAGTCAAGTTCTCCTAATTCTAAGCAAACTCATCACAGTGGCTAGAAACTGAATGACCACAATAACAGCTAACATTTATCGAA